CCTGTACAGGGCTACCGATATCCTCTTGCCTACCCTGAAAATCTCCGCCAGTAGTACAGGACAGAGGAGGGCTACCATCATTGTGGCACCCTCAATATATAGCTCCAGCACATATTGACAGGCTGCAAGATGGCTCTGTTTCAGGGGCGATACAGATGAAGACACAATCAGATCCTTATGAAGCTGGCAGAGGTGCTGGAGACCAAGAGTAAGGAAGTAAATGGGAAAAGTCTTCTCTCATTACCACAGCAGGTTATATTCATCAGTAAAGGGCAGAAGGTAGGGGAAAGCAGTGAGAGGGCAATATCAAAACGTCTTACACCAGGAGTGGAGAAGAAGACGGAGGGGGACCTTGGAAGGCCCTAGGGAAATCTGCAGCACATTGTTAAGTCATGATGTAGCATGGTGGGCAGAAGAGACCAAGGCTTTGCTCCATGCAGAACTCACTGTGCTATGGAAGGAGGGCATGGAAGTTAAACATGAGCGGAAGAGGCTGAAATACCCTCAGTTTGCAGCAGAGTGCAGAGGAAGAGGTTGGAGACAGTCTACACTCTGGAAGTGTGATGCTGAGGCTTTATAAGTACATAAATGTTAAGTTTCCTTAGGGATGTGGGAGGGGCTGGCTTGACACTGAAGAGGGCAGTAAGGGGATTAGCAGAAGAGGCAAAAAAAAGAGTTTTTGGCTATAAGGAGAAGGGACAGGAGATGTGGCCAAAAACCCATATGTAATAAAGGCCAGTTGCAGGAGGCGGCAATGAGACGTCCCTGTCACTGCCCCACTACTAGGAGATAAGGGGGTGAAACATTGATGAATAGAGATCCTGTGGCTGAAGACCTTGTAGCTGGTCTCTTGGCACTGTAGGAGCTGCAGCGAAAGGCATGCAGGTTAACATCCACCTGTATAAAAGATGATGATTATGATGAAAAAGTTAAGTTCAAGAGCAAAAAGCTCTTGCAAAAAGAGTATTTAGTCAATTCAAGGCTGTTGTAAGGCTATTTTGATCAGAAATTGTATCACATCACTGTGAGACAAAACATGAAGATATACCAGTATAGGATAACTTCAATAAATCAATCAATCAATCAATCAGTCAGTCAATCAAGGTTTATTTATCAATGCACGAATAGTACACATACAGCGGTGTTGTCGGCAATGAAATGCTTTAACTTTATTAGCATAGTTGTATTTATTATACATTTATTAGTATTGTAAATAAAAATGTGTACATTTCCTATATAAAAAGGTTAGATATTACACTGATGTTGGTGTTTTAGGGTAAATCTACTTTAATTTTTGGCTTTCAGCAATATATTTCAATAGCACAATTGTAGAAAAAATGTTTTCTATTTTTTCATTACTCCAGTACTGTTCTTTGCAGGTGTATTTAAAAAATGCACATTGCTGACAGGGGCTGTCATTTTCCAGTAGCCCACTGGAGGACGACAAACCTCTATGTTTTGCAAAACAGGCAGCTCTGCCTTCAGAATGCAGCAACACTTTGCATATGTGCCGGAGTTTTTCACAGCAAGCACAGAAGTTCATGTTCTCTTTGTAAAAAAGTTGAAAATACGTTTCACCATAAACCTCTTTAGTTGTTATTTTTGTTATTGTACTGCATAATTTATTCTTTACATTCATTTTGTTGCAAAATATTCTTTATTGGCTAGCATAATCAACTTCATTCCCTCACAAAATTGATGACTCCCTGTGGGCTGATAAAGAAAGCTGACAAGATAATTAAACAAACATGGTTTTCAAAGACCAACTTACTTATTTCCCAAATACTTTATTTTTAGCTGTTACAGTATACACCACATTGTACCATACATTGATAAATATAGATTATGTACCTGATAATCTGTGCACCAATCAGTATGTGTTGAAGTGTGATTTGTCTCTCTTTCACCATTAGTTTTAAAGCAAGGGTTAGCATATTCATGTGTGATCAACTGTGTTGATTTTCTTGCACTTTAATGTCAAATGATCTTGCTCAATGATAAGGCAATGTGTATGATTGCAATGTACAATGTGTATGATGATTGTATAACAGCATTATAACATTGTTCATTTAATGTCCTATCAATCCTTCAATAAATGTCACATTTACAGTACCTTGCAAAAATATTCACTTCTTTCCAATTATCCATTTTGTTTAATTTAAAATGATGCATACAATTTCAAAAAAGAGATTGTTTTAACACTGAAAACATTTATGGGTGAAAGAAGTTGAATGCAAAAATATTTTGATTCAATAAGTATTCACCCTAAAGATGGGAGTCTTTTTGGATAAGACTCAATCAACTTTGAACACCTGGATGGTGCAATGGCCAATTTTTATGTGTGAATTCACTCAGGCTCTGTCAGGTTGGTTGGGGTTCATTGATGGACAGTAACTTTATGTCTTGCCACAGATTTTCTATCAAGTCTGGACGTGATGGGGCAGCTCAAAGACATTCAGTTTCTTCTGGTTAAATCACTCCAGTGTACATTTTACCATGTGCTTTCAGTCATTCACCTGCTGATAGATTAATTTTGGTCCTTATTTTAGGTTTTAGCAGATCGAAGCAGGTTTTTTTCTATTCTTAGTCTGTACTTTGCTCCACCCATTTTTCCTCTTAGTCTTGACAAGCTTCACTTTTGTTTGCTAATGATGTTTGCTAACAGAGAAGCAAGACTTTAACATAATGCTGCCACCATGTAGATTGTAGGATTATTATTTATTGAGTGATGTACTATTCTGGGTTTGTGTCAGATGTAATTCTGACATCATTTAAACCTAAACTCTTTTTTCTTGTCTGACAACAAAATCTTTTGGCACAAGTCTACAGTATCTCTCAATTCCTTTATTGAATTCTCCACGCAGGATTTGAGATGGTTCAATTTCAGTCCAATACAGGCCCAGTTTTGTGGAGGGACTAGGATATCGTTGATTCATAGTCATTTTCTCCCACGCCATTCATTTAATTCTGTAGGGATTTTAAAGTCTCCCTTGGCCTCAGGGTGGCATCTTTAACCAGATTCCTCCTCGCCCTGCTGCTCAGTTTGGAGGGACAACTTGCTCTAGGCAGTATCTTTGTGATACATGTTTCTTTACGAACAACTTCAACTATGCTCAAAGGGATATTCAGTGACTTTAATTTTTTATAACCTTCTTCTGATCTGTACAACCTATTCCTGAGTTCTGAAAGCTCCTTGGTCTTCATGGTTGAACATTTTCTTGAATGAAGTTCATTACCTGACTGAATGACCTTAAAGAGAGACATTTTTTATTCTGGAATCATGTGTACCACTATTACTTCTGTAGATTAAACCGGTTCAGGGACGCCAAATATGTAATCATAGTGGCTCTCTGAAGGCACCAGTTCTGTAGGGTTTGGGCATTTACTGAGACAATTATTAATTGTAGCAGTAAATCACAAAGTTGATTCTTTTG